CGGTGCAGCATTGTAGCTTACCAAAGTTGTACTAAAACATTTTTTGACAGATTTCTGAGCGCTGTGTACCACATAAAATCGGTTTGAGGTCAGTAAGCAAAACAGAATTCATACATAAAGCCCACCAGATTATAAGGTGCACTGTCAATTTTTGAGAAAATTAAAGGCTTTTAAGAGTGCCTTATAGTCCGGAAAATACGGTAATAACGACGGTCCACTTGCATGTTCTACAAAAAAAATGTGCTTTGGTGGCTATCTGACGGACAAAAACCAAACCAGTTCCACATATCTGAAGTTGCACGTTTTTACAAACCAATTCTGGTTCATCCGTTTCATTCACTGATCCGCTTTTTCACTTCTCATTCTCCGTAGCCGCTATGCTTTTTCCACCATGTGCGTACCAAAACAAAAGCACTGCGCATGTGCATTTTACCCATATTCTATCGTGATATTTCATTTTCTTGTCATTGTAGCTTGGCTGATAGGAGGCAACCTTTCTGCAAACAGTTGCTGTCTGACTTGGATTGACTAAAATCACTCTCAGAGAGATTGTTTGTTTAAGGTTTGAAAATAATTGCTGTCTAATGTATAAATGCAGATGGATATCCAACATGTTGTCATTAGTCTGAATGAGTCTTTGTTAGTGAGCACAACTTGTAGGGACTTGACGCAATAGGCTGTCAGCTGGTTGCATTCTGATTGTATTCCTATAGAACATTAAGGTTGTTGAGCACAAATGTAATCGTTAAATATCAATGTCTGCCTATGCAGACAGCAACATATGTCTGATTTCTGATGATTTATCATAATTAATTGTTACATTATCAGAGAAATTGCATGTAATTGCCATCTTGACCCCATTTATTTGCATGATGATATCAGATTGATTTAGTGAAATGTTGGTATTCCTGGCAATCTCATTATATCGTGATAAATATTTTTGGTCATATCGCCCTGCTCTACTGATAGGTCAGTACTGTAGATTTTTGGATCACTGTTATAAAATGGCAAGAAATAATAAGCCATGTTGTGAACATGGGTCATGTTCACGTTTGTGCATGAAGATGAGAGAAGCACAGGGAGGATTTTAAAGCACAGGGTTTTTTTTTAAAAAGAAAAAAAAACAAAAAACAGACAAAGGGAGCTTGAAAAAGTCTTTCATATACAGTTTATGAAATAACTGAATTAAAAGCCTGTCACGTCTTCATCACACTGGTTAAATAACACAGACACAACAGAAAAATGGTGATCAACAAGGCCGATATCGGCTGATGCCAATGTTCACCTGGCGCGTCCATGAATCCTTGGTATGCTGATCCTATCTTGAACTACATGAGTCATAAAGTTGAAAAGATTAACAATGTATGACTGATGCGTCATTTGACTGGAAAAAAAATTGACCTGGGTGTTGATTTGAACATGTTATTCATTCATGTTTTGTTTTTTTCCAGCCTCCTGTTTTGTAACAGTTTCTGTCACATGTTTCTGCGAAGGCTACTTGTAAGTTGAGCTGGCTACTTCCTTATTTGGCTCTTTGGAAATTATAAATGGCCTCTGTTCTCCATTTCTAACTGGTTATTAGACATATATTTATTGATGTGGTTTCAATGACAAGAATAATCTGCATATTAAGGGTGGTCTGACTTCTTCCTCTTAGTATTACTTAATTGCGTGTATTCTTCAATGTTGAGCTGATTTGACTCTTAACCCTTTTCCATTGTCTCTACATTATTATTCTTTCAGTGTATCTTGTTACTGGCCATGCATCAAACTTTGTCACTGCAGTTTCTTCCTGCTGCTGGGATTGAAGGCAAATATATCACATAGATAGGCTGCAAGGCTGGCAGCTGGTGATTGTAGCTTTCACGTGTCTTTTTCTGGAGCCATATGATGCAGATGACATGCCCCCAGACGCCAGTGTGGACACAGTAGTTGGGTTAAAAGTGATTCTGTAGGAGGAGGAAGAAGTCCTCTGACAAGTCTGACTCATCCTCAGTCTAATCACACTCTTTATTTTGTTACTCAAGTTAGTCTGCCATTAAACAGCATATGCTGGCTGTCCTCGTTGTCCTCATCAGTGTTAAAGAGCAGAACAACAGGCTACCACAAAGGACTAATTTCTGTAAATGGAGGCTATTCTGCGTTATAATCCTTCCACATTTTATGAGTCACTGGCTCCCCTCCCCCCTCGTCATTCCTGTCATTGGTGGAGTCCATAAATAGATACCTGGCTGCCATGAAGGGACCAAGCACTGAAGTAATACAAAAAGAAGCATTTGAATGGATGAAAAAGGCATCTGGAGGCAGAGAGCATGAGGAAAGAGAAATGATGTGTGGGAGGATAAGTGGATGGGTAAAAGAGGGACAGGGAAAGGAAGGCACAAAAATCAAATAACTATTTTTTTAATTACCATTTTATGCTATTTGTGCTTGTTGGGAGATTTTCTGATTAATATCTGTCCAATAATCTATAGAATGTGGGTTTTGTATTTATTTTAAAGAGTATTTTCTTTAACAGAATATGTTGCGTAATGTTACCTTTCAAAGCCAGCCTTCTACCTGAGGTGAAACTAAAGACATTTTTAATAACCGCTTGTGTATCTTTTAATCTAAGAAGTGAAACATTGGAGTAGTGTTAAATTGAAAATATGCCATCTTCCCTGCACCAAATTTTAGCACATTTTTCTGTGTGACGGGTATGAGCATAAAAGGACTTTTTCCTTCCCCGTTTTTCTTTTTCCTCAGCCTCTTTCACCAGACATACCAAACATGGAATTTGAGTCTGCATTCAACAGTCAATTTAGCCTTGTACTTGCAGTCTCAGAGTGCGCACACAACGCAGGCACCATTCACTGAAAACACAGGATTCATCAGAGAGGCACAGAGGTGGTATCTGGCCTGCCATGGTCTTACAGTGATAGTCACACTGTAGATTTGGTTAAGGGGTCGTCAACATGTACATATGTGTTGCTCCAGTGATACAAAAAAAATGTGACATTTAAGAAGTAAATATTTAAAAATGTGATTTATGCAGATGCCTCTAAAGAGGATGGTGTTAGGCAGACTCTCACTATTGGTTCATTAGAAAACTGCTGCAGGGATTTCCATCACATTAATGGTCATTGTTAAAATTGAGTTTTTCCTTCCCACTGTCACCAAGTGCTTGCTCAATGGGGCTATCTCATTGTTGGGGTTTCCTCTATTATTGGAGGGTCTTGAAGCAACTGACTGTTGAATTGAAGTCCATGATTTTCACTTACAAAGCCCTACAGATATATCAGTGAATATTATGTATTTGTTGATAATAGGGCATCAGCATTTAGAACAGCCAATAAATGAAAATTCAAAGTAAAGAAGACGCATGTAATTAACAATGTTTTGAGTGCTTATGTTGAATAGTTTGTCCACCAAAGGGCATTCGGTGACTTCCCTGTTTGGCAGCACACGTTTGGAATGCCACAAACCTGCTGATCTGAACAGAGTTGGGCAGAGGCTAGACAAATTTGTGACTATAAAATAAGTTTATTTTTTTAAACTTCATTCTCGTGTGTGTGTGTGTGTGTGTGCGCGCGCAACGATGCCAGTGATTTTAAAAAAACAAACAAACAAAAAAAAAATCTAATTTATAGTAAAACTAACAATTAACTAGTTCCTACTGTATAAGCATGCACATGTGACTTTATTTATATAAAAAGTGAATTAAAACTGGTAATAGGATGTAGTTAGTTTGTGACAGTTCTCATTGCTCTGACCTAAATTTACTTCTCTTGTATTGAAGCTTGTGTCTTTTGCATATGATTAGGTAGAGTGAAGATTTAAGATTGGATGGGCCCCATGGGATTTTCTGGTCTTTAAGTGGGCTGCAGTACTCTTGATTTTGGGGGTGGTTGTACTAAACTATTAATAGAACAACACAATCGGACTCACATGTACCTATGGAAGCATTAACATCTAGCATTCATAGTTAAATAGAGGTGTTTCTCCGTAGAGACAATCAACTTATTTTATATATACACACACACACACACACACACACACACACACACACACTGATGTAGATATGATCCTTGAGGAGTCTTATACACTTTTTTTTTTTTCTTTTTTTTTTAAAATTAAACTTAATTAAAATTTGTGAAATTGAGTGAACAAATACTACTGCGTTTTAATTGCACCCAAACTGCAGTAGATTTAGAATTGTGGTTAAACTGTCTTTTTAATTTTTCTACAAGTGACTGCAGGCCATATAGGATGAAAAGGCAACAAATAGGAGTGTGCAGTAGGAGCCATCTGATACTGTTCCTCAACAAAGTGAGAATTAAAATGACAACAAAGGAGGCAATAAGTGAAGAAAGAAAAGGTGCCATTGGAGTTTCAATAGAAAAGAAGCCACATGCATGGCGTACAGGGTGCTCAGAGTGTGAATACTGTGATGGACTGGAACCGATATCAAAAATAACAAACAGGAATGGAGGAAGCGGAGATTTCATTGCATCATGAAAATGTCAGCTGAAGTAGGAGAGGAACCTGTCTGTCTGTTTATGGACATATAAACTGTAGCGCCTGTTCAGCAAGTATCTGCATTCAGCCATGCCATATTTCTTATTCTCGTCAGTGCTTGAAAAGAGAAGCCAGCCAGGTTTCTCTGTGTGGGTGATTTATGATTTTTATTTATTTATTTTTTTCGATTTGTAAGCCTAAGTTGAGAAGGCGGCGCCTGCAGAGGTGTGCGTCTGGAGAGCAGTGAGCGGGAAGGAGAGACTTACTGTTTGATGTGTAACAGAATTTTTCTATTTTTTTTTTTTTTCTGAAAGTTACCAAAAATAAAAAAGAAGGCTGATAGATTTAGTGGAGCTTTGTTCAAGTGTGGACTGTTTGTATGTGTTCTGTATATTTGCGGTCATAAATGTTAACATTTATTATGCTGAGTGTGTGTTTTTGTTTGTTTTGTTTTAATCAGGGTTTCTTTTTCCTTTTGATTTTCTTTTATTTATTTTTTTTAGGTAGAGGTAACTCCACTGCAGATGAAGGAACATGTTGGCTATGGACCAAGGAGTGGTGGAGGAATGGCTGTCAGAATTTAAGGTAAAGCTTCATTTTCTGTATAAAAGTGTTTGTTTGGGTAGGGAAAAAAAATACTAAAAAAGTCATTTACCTGTGATCAGTATACAGTACATACTCTGCTTCTTATTATTGACAGGATTTATTTCACACATAAACAAACACACTTTGAAGTGCTTCGCTACCAGAAAATTGCACGCTCCTACTCAAATATGAGCATTTGCTGTTAGGTGACCAGTACTAGAGCTGCGGCTTAGTGACGAATATTAATGAAGGAGCAGATGAGTTTTTTTTTTTGTTTTTTTTTTCTCCTGTGTGAATGTGTGAGGACCAATCTGCTGTCATGTCTGTAAAGTTGACCTAATATAACCAGCTCAGTGTGACAGACAGTGATTGTGGTTAAAGAAGCTGTCAGGGTCTCTGCAGGATTTCACTGCTATTAAAACGTCATTTCAGAAGCAGCAAAACCAGACTATCAGTCTGCTTTGCTGCTAAATGGCAGATTTTATTAATAAAAAAAGCAATGATATATATATTTTCTTTTTTTTGCAAATCAGTGTAAATAATAGGAATTTGTGTTTGTCTTTTCAGTGTTTGCTTTTCAAACTGAAATGCTGTAAGTGTAGCATGTTAAACTTCAGCTGGTTACATATGTGTTTCAGACCCTTCCTGACAGTGCCGTCTCCACCTATGCTGCCTCACTAAAAGACAAAGGTGCCCTGGTCCCTGCACTTTACAAGGTCATCAGAGAGAACTACAGTGACGTATGTAGATATAAATCTTTTATTAACTTGAAAATTAGATTGTAAAAGTTTGACCACCCAACCTTTAACCAGTACTTAGTATTTAGTCATGTGTTCAGTCCGACCATTTACCTGCTTTGTTTTTGTTATTGTTATATTTTTGCTCAGGCTTGATAATCTTGTGTTTATGGATGTGTCAGATTTGCAAACACACTGCGTCCCTCAAGCAGTGCTGTGTTTATACCCTGATCTTATCGTTGAACCGTAGATGCTAGTTGCAAAATTTGTTGCAAATGAGTTGGCAGTTCTTGTCTCGTGATTTTTACTTTGTTTTTTATTTTAAATGTTGTGGCCTAATTGTATGCCATGTGTTTTTTCTCTTTTGGATATGTGTCCCATGCAGTTACTAGAGCCAGTGTGTCACCAGTTGTTTGAGTTTTACCGGAGCGGTGAGCCGCAACTGCAGCGTTTCACGCTACAGTTCCTGCCAGAGCTCCTGTGGAGCCTCCTGTCCGTCAGCGCAGCCAGAGACCCCCACACCTCCGGCTGCATCGAGGCCCTGCTGCTAGGCATTTACAACCTGGTGAGGGAGAGGGTGAAGCACTTGTTGCAGTTGTTTTCTAGTTGCAGAGATGAAGCTCACGGGTGATCGGTTTTATTTATTTTTTACTAGAGGTGAGCTGCTCTGGTTGACGGCAATAAAATGTATCTAGTGTTTTAAGTGCACAGTAAGGAAAAACACTAGAAAAGTCCTTGATCCTTACCAAGTGGAAATTATCATGCAATTTGCCAACAAAGAGGACTTAACTGCTCAACTATTTCAGGGATCTGCGTCATGAGTTTTGAAAGATTACTTTCTGCCCTTTCTGCCATGTTAGACAGCCGTGACAGGAAATACGGGGGAGGAGTGGTGGAAACAGTGACTTTGCACATATACACTGATGGACAGCACCTTGCAAATGCCTTTTTTCATTTGCAGATAGATGGGAGTATTAGAAGTGATTAAAGTTTGAGTTGTATTTCATCCTTTTCAGCTCCGAGTGATCTATCAGCAAAGTCCACTGTCTCCTCACTTCCTCTCTGAATACCAGAATAGGTCAGCTGTCACTCAACATACTGGCTGGTTCCCATTAATCTGTTTGACATTAACATGCACATAGAGGGGCACCAAAACCCCGCGGTTTGTGCCTGTGTGAGCACGCATGCATACATATGAGTGCACACCAACAAAGTGTCAGTAGGGAAATGAGACCCTCAGGTTTATACACAGCCACCCACACATGATGGATGACTGTGCTCGAAGAGATCAGCACACGCTCTTTAGAGGTTTGAGGGCAGACGCAGATGGAAAAAGGGCTTTTTTATTTTTGCTTTCGCCCACATAAGTTTTCCCTCTTCCTGTCTTTCTCTTTTACAGGAAATAGTTGATAAGGATGGACAGAGTAAGGTGTTATCTTTTACCGTCCCTTCCCTCTCCAAACCCTCAGTTTACCATGAGGTGAGTGTGTCCTTCATTCAAAGTTGTGCCAGGGTTGTTTCTGCAGAAATGTACTTACATAAACTGTATCCACCTCTAGCCTTCAACTATTGGCTCCATGGCCCTTACCGAAGGAGCTTTAGCTAACCATGGGCTGAGCAGAGTGGTGTACAGCGGGCCTCACCTCCAGAGAGAAACCTTCACAGCACAGAACAGGTAAGACAGTCATGTTGGTTTTAAAATGTGCTTTACCTGTAGCAGGATGTCAGTCTGTTCGTTTTCAAAGTGGCAGCAAACACCAGCTAATTAACAAAATAAGAATGCACATAAAGGAAGATGGAAAATCTGATCAAAAATGTACTTTTACTTCTTCATTTGTGAATGCATGCTTTGTATTATAGCCTAAAAAGGACATATTACCTTTAATAACAAACTGGCTAAAACAGATTCATGATGACTTGTGTACTGATGGGGAATTAAGCTGCTGCCATGGTTTTTATTTTAGGGTAGCTTCAGCTGTGGCCTGTGGCAGTTGTCTCTGCCTTGTTACATTTAAACTTGTTATATTGCCATTAGGGTTTCTTAAATTATTCTAACTGAGATGAAAGACTGGCGGCCATGTTGGCCTGAACTGAACGTCCTCTGCCTTAACCATTTTTAATTTTAACAAATCGCTTGTTTTCCAGTAGGAGAATTCTTATTAGACAAAAAAGTGGTGCATTTAAAGATCCCACACAAATATTTTGAATGTTTTGGTTCTTGTTATCCTAATCCTATCATATCCTGTACAGATGGACTTTCAGGTTTTAAGATTTTGGTGTGTCTTACGTAACGTGCCATTTCAAGGGTTTGTTTGTGTTATTGAGATTTGAGGTGCTGACCTTCCTCCTGCTTTGCTACAACGCCGCTCTCAGCTACATGTCCTCCACCTCCCTGCAGTCCCTCTGCCAGCTCAGCTCCAGGTAAAATATATACACATAAACACACACACGCCCACGAGCATTAGCATTTGTGGGTCACTACAGCTGGGTCAGACGCACACAAACTGCTTTCCAACTTTATAGCTTGTGTTGCTGAAGTTCTAGGTAATATTTTATGGAGGCAACTTACAAACGCACACACCCACACACGCATACACGCACACACAACCGCGCGCGCGCGCACACACATACACACACGTTTGCAAGTTGCTGCTTATCTGATCCTCTTATAGACTTTGCTGCCAGAGAGAGCCAAGATATCGCTATTTGGCAAAGAGCTGCAGTGTACACACATCCCAGCTCAGTAATCTGAGCATTGGTCTGCTGAGCTGAAGAGAAGTCATCGGCCTCGATTTCTGCCTAACTGTTTGCTGTGTTAGCAGCGCTGTACAATGCATAAAGCTTCTAATATACAGGTGTTACCTCATGCTTTTTGACTCCTCTGAAGCTTGTTAGATGCATGGTGTGTGGGGGTGTGGGTGTGGTTTAACTTAGAATCTTGCTTGGTGAGTTTCACATCAGCTCAGCTCGCCACACAGTTAAGTAAATGGCTTTAATGGTGCTGCAGCTAAGTGGCCCACTGGAGTGGTTTCTCTGCTTCCATTCTTACTCATCTAAACCTCTCTAATGTGTTTTTATTGGTTATCTACCAGGGTGTGTATTTGTGGTTACCCACGGCAACAGATGCGGCGGTACAAAGGCATTAACGCACGGCTCACAGTCACATCAGAGTTCCTGGTTCAGCTCATCGCAGGGATCCACTACGCCTTGTGAGTACAAACGCACACGCCAGCACACAGTGAAAGTTCTCATGGCGTCACAATGTCAAAGTTGCGTTGTTAAAAAGATTCCACAGAGATTGGGTACAGGAAGCTCCTGATACTCGTTAAGATAATTAGTGCAGACAGTTTATATTCCAAGCTTACATTTTATAAGTGATGTGAAAACGTAATTACAATCTTTTCTGTTGTCTCAGCTAATTTCTTTAAATTGTACTTATTTCAGCATGTCAGATTAAAATAAAATGATAATAACAATAATCCCTTAATCTGTTTTAGACTAACAAACTGTGTGTGTGCGTGTGCGCATGTGTGCGCACATTTCTGCCCCTGTGTAGGTGTAATGGTGAAGTTGACCTGGGATCCAAAGCACTGGATGACGTTCTGTATCGAGCCCAGCTAGAGTTGTTCCCCGAAGCCCTGTTGGTGGGTGCAATGATATTTTTCTGCCACTATCACACCTCCTCTAAGTGTGTGTCTGTGTCTTTAAGTGTAAGAGAGAGGGGAGAGCATGTGATGGCTGTGCACATGCTGGCTTCTGGTTTTGTTTCATGCACGGCACAGTATACGGCATTGTCTTGGTGTGTGTGTGTGTGTGTGTGTCAGTCAGAGTGCAAGCAGAGTGTAATCCCACGAGATTATTTACATGCTTTCCACTCTGCTCCGTTAAGCTATAATCCTTGCGGCCCAGGGAGTAGAGGATTGAACCCGCACTTACAGTATTACTACACAGTTCAAGGTGTGCTCCTTCACAACAATCAAAACAAACCGCATTTACACTCATATTAGTAACAGTGGTGATGGTTTATTTTATTTTTTTTCCCGTGTAAAGGAGTTGCACATGTGATACTGTGGAAAGTTTAAAATGTCAATTTTGTGTTGTCGGTTTCTGTGTTGCAAGTGGAATACACCAGGTGGTTGCTAGCTTAGCGTGCCGTGGTGGCGTGTCCCTCATGAGACCAGTGTGCCGAAGCCTCACAGACAAAAGACATGTTGTGTTGTGATTATGAGTCTTTCTGCCGTGTGTTACGTGCTCGGCTGTTAGGAGATTATTAGTGCAAGTGCCCCGTGAGGAGCACTAGGAACAAAGATTATTGTATAAAGACTTGTGAAATCCATTTCAGTGTGACACACAAGTCTTTGTTTTCCTTCTTTTTATTTTGCTTCTTCCGTTACTTAATTCCTGCATGTCTACTATGTGCAAGTGAAATTATTGATGAGATGTTGTTGGATTAGCCACTTGACAGAGCATCAGCGTGTACTTCATGTCCATCCTGTGCTTGGTTGATGGGGTCAATTTTCTAATGTGGTTGAAGCAGGGATGCTCTGACATAGTGTCTGAATATCATATGTTGGCTGATATTGGTCACCAGGAGCAGAGCTTCTCCTGTTTCACATCAGGTTTTTGTTGGCTAAGTGAAATACTTAAAACTGATTTATTATTATTATTATTATTATTATTATTATGTTAAGTAGAATAAGTTAGTATCAACATCAGCTATCAGCCCAATTGAAGGCTCGGTGTGTGTACATCCTAAGTTGTGCTTGCTATACATTAGTACTGTTTTATTTTTTTTGTTTTTTGGTTGTTTTTGGGGTTTTTTTGTTGGTTTTTTTTTTTTTGTTTTTGTTTTTGTGCCCAATAAGGAAAAAAGATATGGAAATGAAAGTAGAAACTTTATGTAATTTTTGGAGCTGTAAAATAGCATACACTTATAATATCGACAGCTTTGTAACTTAGCTTAAAAACTCTAAATTTGGCAGTGCACAGTAAATCCTCGGCACTTGATCTTGCATAAAAACATAATTATAGTAAACACTTTTAAAATGGTAAAAATTCTACTTATGTTATTTTTGCACTAATGCAAATTCGCACTAGCTTTCGATAACAGTTAGTTGTAGTAAAGCTGCTTCAGAGTTTTATGCCACCTGAGCCTGAATGCAACATGAGACTGCTGTATTCTTCCATCAGTCTCAGTTCACTTCATACTAAGATTAGTGTGTGTAAAGATGTTGGGGCATACATCCCCTTTTTTTTTTTTTTTAATTTATTTATTTTTTTATTAAAAAAAAATGTCTGAATACAGCTGGTGTTAAGTGTAACAGGTGTCTGACTAATGGTTAACCATGACCTGGGACATAAATTTACCATTGCCTTCATAAACCATAACTCTCTTTAAACCCAGAAATTTTAAACATTACCTAAAAATAAAACTTGAACTTTGAAACCTAAAAGAGCAAACATAGACAACAGGCTGTAGTTTGTCTATGAACTTTATTACATTGTTAGATGATTGTGATAATATCACGATATCTGCTGTGCAGCTAAGGAAGCTTTCTGGCAGAATTGGAATCAATTGAACTATAATTAAATTTAAATTAAAAACTATAATAAAATTATTGGTTTTTGGGTTATTTTTCCATCTTGATGGGTGCATAATTTCAGTGTGGCCTTCATCTGTGTGCTGGCTTCTTGAACTATGCACTCAGTCATCAGAACTTTGAGAACCCCCATGATCTAAGTCTCAATGTCTTTCTCCTAAAATGTGTTACAGAGTAATAGACTGAACTGTGAAGCAGTAAATGTGTGATTCTTGTTATCTCCAGGTGGGTAACGCCATTAAGTCATCACTGCACAGTGCAGCACTGAAAAGCAACAATAAGGAGGGTGCGCGGAGTATTCAGGTGGAGATCACACCTACCTCCTCGAGGATCTCCCGCAACGCTGTTACCTCCCTCTCGATCAGGGGACACCGCTGGAAGAGACATGGTGAGATGCATACACAGGCCTAACGCAAACTTGCCAAACAAGAGTTCCTACACGCTTCTCTCATGTTTTAAAAAGAAAAAGGTAAAACCAACAAATGAATTTAACACCAAAGGAGAGAGCAAGAGGTTTAGATCTCATCATGCGCTTTCCCCTTTTTCACTGTGTGACAGTCGACGTGTTGTTGTCATCCCTCATGGAGCCCCTCAAGATCATAGATTGCCCATCCTCAGCTTTCTAACTAGTGCCGTCCCTCTCAGTCTTAGAATCTGCTCATTGAAAACCACCGCTTCCTGTCTGATTTCTGAGAATACTCTTGAGATGCTGGCAGCACAGGGACAGAACAGCCTGCCAGGCAGACAGATTGAGCATGCCACATAAATCAGATCAGACAGAGTGCAGGTAGTGTTTTTAAAGTAGGATACTGGTGGAAAATTTGTGTGTGCTTATCTTTTGTGCAGTTTCAGCCTTGTGCCGAAGACTTTTATTAATATTATAATGACCACAGAACAAATGAATCAGACTTCCATTACCCTCTAGAGTAAATGATGGCAGCCTCTTTGTGGTGCAGAATTAGGAGAGGGCTGTTCTCTTTTCCCAGTGTAGCTACGTCTGGGTAAATTACAGCCTTGAGCTAGTTTAATAAGTAGGTTTCACATTGAGTCTAACGCCTGCTTTTTCTGTCACAGATCGTACTTTTGTGAGTTTATATATATATATATAAAGCTTTTGTTATGAGCAGATGGAGGAAAACAGTATTAAGTATTCATTTATTTGCGAGGATGCACAGTGATCTATGAACAGTATTATTTCATTTAAGTGCTGTGTTCGTATTCACTCCCATTTAGCATGTACGTTGACCATGTGTTATGTTCTGATCACTATGATTTGTTTTTTATTTTTATTTTTCTGCCATTACATTGATTACCTGTTTGTCTCTGTGTTTTTTCTGTTGTGTCTGTGATTTTATTTTATTTATTTATTTATTTTTTGGCAACCTTTTTTGTTTTTCATGTACCTCTGCATGAAATGTGCATGTGCGTGCGTGTGTCTATATGTTTGTGTATTGTTTCACTACCCCGTCCATGCACCCACCCACCAGCAGAGAACCAGGAGGTGTGTGTAGACGGTGAAGCTGCGGTGGGGGGCGTGGCCATCCCAGAGATCAATGTAACGGGCGTGAGCGGTGATCGAATGCCCAACGGGGACTCCCTGCGGCCACGCCCCGATGGCCGTTCCCCGGCAGACGGCGACATGATGGGTGCCACCTCTGAGGTCAGCATGGACCCCCGAGGTCATGACTCCAGCATACGTCTGGAGGTCAGGAGGCAGAAGTCTGTGAGGCGAATGGTGGAGAATGAGGGGTCTGGGTCAGCCTCCACAGGGAGGAACCAGTACTAAGGTCCTACCCCTCCTTCCCCTTGCCCCACTCATGGGGTAACCTAGGTAACCAATTGTGGGGTCGTGGTCTAAAAAAGCTGCATGATCTTTTTTTTTTTTTTTTCTTTCCCCCCCTTTGTACCTGTTTGCGTTGGGTTCTACCCTCCTCTCACTGTGCTGCTCCTCTCATCTGTCTATTAAGCATCATTCATTTTTACTCTCTCCTTTGTGGCTAAAGCTTCTTCATAAAGATCTCCTGCTGGAATTTCTAAAGGGCAAATGAATTATTTAAGATGCCACTGAATAACAGATCAATAACCTAATAAAAAATGCATTAAAGTCAAAGGAATGACATGTGCTTATGATGAGCGAGTTGATGACATTAAAAGCAGAGCATTAATCAGAGAGGGGAATAGTAACGGTGTTAAAATGAGACTTTCCTGATCAGTGAAGGTCACCCCAAAAGCCTATACTCACTGTTAAGTCATGATGACCTTGAATAAAAAGACCTAGATATCTTTGTTAGCATATCGAGGAAACTCCTGTGTTTTCGCCGCAGTTATCAGAGACCTTCTTGGTCTGTTTGCCTCGACACATTACCCCAGGTTGCACCTGGTCACAGATTACTTCCTTCTGACTGGTAGGTAGGAACTGAGAAACGATACGTTGGTCTTGAATTATGTGCATTCGCCATATTTAAATTTAGAATCCAATGAGTGCATATTTGTTTTGAAGAGGTTAAATCTGAGCACGAAAGACTGTAAGTGTAACAAGACCTGCTTATCTGTTTTTCAGCTGTTCTGGTGTTTGTGTCACAGTGGTAGCATCAGATTAGAAATGTGTGTTTGTGAAGGTGGTTGGAAGCTCACACACAGTTGTGGATGCATGAATTCAAGAAAACAGGAAAAGTTTTCTTGTGTATTTAGAGTTAGTGAAGAGAGAAAAAATATTTAGGGTGTGCCTTGGTTTGTTTCCCTTACTTTCCCTTCATGGTCTTTCATAGGTTTTGCTCTTAGATGCTGTCCTTTCCTGCTTTTGGGATCAAACATGCACTCCTCTGCCACTAAATTACTGACCGTTGTCTCACAGAGCTGCTGGGTCTCTCAACCTGTGTACTGTACCCGGACTTACTGTTTCTGGTCAGGTGGTGAAAGATTGCAGTGTGAGGTCGCCACCTGCTGGACAGTGATGGACCTCCTCTGTCATCCAGCAGCATGATATTGTGCAAAATTCAAACAAGCCTCTAAAGGATTGATTGGATTAGACTGGATGACAGATGAGGTTCTTCACTTTTGACACGTGTGCCGTTTTCTCATGTTTCTCTTGTTTCCTCTCCCCTTGTCTATCTCACAGACGCAGTGGATCTGGGTTCCCCGGATGAGCTGATGGATATTTCGGAGGTGGATGAAGGGGTTTGGCCAGGTGGCGCGGGGCCTGACATGACCCCACCCACCATCACTATCAGCAACAGTGTCACAACATTGAACCTGGGGGCCAAAGCCATGAAGAAGTGTCGGCTTGGCGGGCGGACCAGCAAGGACAAGGACAAGGAGGCGGGCCCTCTGATGCCGGGCCGGGCCGCCAGCGAGAACGCAGAGCTGTCTGTTAAGCGGCTAACGCTCACTTCCAGCCAATCGGTGCCCAAAGCGGGAGCCCTCACCAGCCTGACGCGCACCGCCAGCGCCGTTTTCTCACGCTCCTTTGAGCACGTGGCCAGCGGCAATGCCCCTCCCTCAAGCAACCACACCACCTCCGAAGCCGGCCGCTACTCCTGCAGCCTGCAGGAGGAAGGCTTGGCGTACTTGAGTCCAGCGCCAAATCACACACAGCGCTCCCCCAGCATTAGCGTTCATCTCGGCTCTGACCTTTGAACTCAAGTGTGACTCTTGACTCATCTCTGATCCTGTGACCCCATACCTGTGACCTGGAACTCCAAGCCATGCTAACTGCAGTTGACTGCAAAAGAAACACTCCAGCTGTTTCCCCCTTGTCACTCCATATTTTTTTTTTTTTATTATTTATCCCCCCCCCCCCCCCCCCCCCCCCCCCCCCCCCCCCCCCCCCCCCCCCCCCCCCCCCCCCCCCGGTGTCTTTTACATCTCTGTGGAACTGAATGCCGAGCGCAGTCAGAGGCACGAGGACGCCGCTTCCAGCTTTGTCTGACTTTTAGCAGTGCGCTCATGACCTGGACATAACTTTGGTCGTAAACGAGCGTGCTTAAAATTCAAAATCACTAAGAAACTATGTGGAAAAGTACTTCAAAAGTGATCTAATCTGTATTTGTTGCCCTCTGCATGGCTTTTCCATACATCCATCCTTACCGCCCAGGTTTGTTAAAGGGCACATGTTGAGTGCACGAGCATGTTTGTGAGTGAGTGTGTGTGCGTTGACTTTATCTGTACGTACAACTGTTTTTAGATAAAAAGGCTGCTGATTGATGAAGTGAAATAGTTGATTCTCCTAGTTGGAACACTGTTTCTACTACTTTTATAAAAAAAATAATGATTATAATAATGGATTCCTTCCCATAGCAATACAAAACTGTTCTATTCAGTGGTTTATTTTGTTTTGTTTTATATTTTGGGCTGTTTACTGAATCTTCCTTCTGTTGGCACTTATCAGAAGTTATGCCTGTGCTTTATTCGTCCTAAAGAGAAACAAAAAACCTACAACTAAAACATTAAAAATCAACCAGTATGATAAGAATCTGGTCTTTATGTTTACAATCACACAGTATTCTCATTAAAGATGGAGAAGCAATATTACCCCTGCCCCACCAACCCCCCACCCCCCTCGCTCCTTCCTGAACTGCTGTGTATTTGATGGCAAAAATTTAAAACCAAGACAAAGAGGATTTGGGTTTTTAATGGATGATGGCTGTGTGTGCGTGCGTGTGTGATTTAAGTATTAAATTTTGCACATGGAAGAACAAATGAGTTGTGTTTTTTCAGCGCTGGTATTTTCTTATTCATGAGAAAGTTTTGACTCTCAAACATTGTCTTTCCCTGTAAGAGAAAAATGCTTTGTTGCTCTTTTTTTAAAGGTTCCAAAGTGATTAAAGAATTTGGTACTTCACAGTGAAGTTCCACTGACTCTACCTTAAATGTGGAAGATCGTCTGAAGCAACAGGGCATCTTTCCCGTCCTGTGAGCCACTCACCATTCCAGCTGTTTGTAGTGCTTTAGTGACGTGTTTCCTGTGTCTCCTCTTGTCGTTCATCACTGCACAAGACATGGTGATATTCTCTTGTACCAGCAAACAAATAAAAACTCCAACCATCAGCTAATTTTGATGTCTTAAATCAAGCGTTCATGCTGCTCGACCCCCAAGCAAACTTGTAGTCTGTTGTCTGTATACTAGAGCTGTGTGTCTGTAGCGTGGTGGGACAATAATCATGTTTTTCTGTGTGTGGTTTAACAGAATGTGAACGGGTAAGCTGTTGTTGTACATCATACTGTTGTACTCAAGACCGGTTATATTGGCCTTTCTACGTCTGAAAATAACTCACTGCTACAACTTCTGGGAATAAAGTGTTTCTATATTTCACTTTTCTGCTCTTGTGTTTGTTTTTCTGCTCATCACTAAACATCACACTAATAAAGTCACCTGAAACCCTTTCAAGTTTTTATATAAAGCATGCACATACAGGACTGTGACAAGTCTGGAGTCACCCCTCACTTCTTATTTTTAAAGTGATCTTGAGCAGTAGCTCTCTCTCCATGCCGGGAGAAGGCATGCTGAGGTACACAAGAACTGGACTGAAAATCAGTAGATACTGATGACCCCCAAACACACTGCCAGTGCAGTGGAAACATACCTGAATAGAAAAAGACACAACACAATGCTGCCAGTGATGGATTACTAAAGCAGTGTGGGATCATTTTGACAGCGAGCAGAACAAAATGTAGCCAACATCTGGAGAAGAGCTTTAAATGTTCTTCAAGAATCCTTAAGACTACTTCAAGAAAGGACAAGTAATCTTGCCTCAGTGTCTAGGCTGTGTTAAAGAATAAAGGTCCTAGTACAAGATATTGACTTTCAAGCTCTGTTTGCCTGTCTTACTGTATTTCAGTGTGTCTTTAGGATTTTGTGCATCTGTCAATAAATAACTGCTCCCATTTTTTTCTAGCAAAACTGCTCCATAGGTACAGTATATAAGTTTAAACCATGTGTGTGATGTGATTTGCTTTCTGCTGATCTTTATGGTTGTCTACATCCACAGTGGAGAAGAACATTGCTCCAAACTATTGACTCTGGGAGGGCCTAATGTTAGTTAAACGGTTTTATCGACTTAATAAAGTTTTGGCTTTAATTAAAGCCAAATCCGCTTAAAGAAAACTGGCATAATCAGTAAAATCATCTCATCGAGAACATGCTATCTGTTTCTAAAGTTAAAGTGTGGCAGTTTAGCATGTAAACTCCAACCAGCCGCCGCCACACGCCCATCCACAAGGAGGCGTCCTATGACAGCTGGAGAAGGTAAGTGTTTAGCTCTTCAACATCACTTCCTTTTTCCTGCCCTTGGAAGCAGCACGAGACTGTCTGTTCGGGATCATAACATGGCTAAACTGAGCAAAGAGAGCAAACAGCGGCTGCAGCAGCTGTTCCAGTGCGGCCAGTTTGTCATCCGATGGGGTTTTATTCCAACCGTGCTGTACCTCGGTCAGTATCCGAATAGGAGTGAGGGGTATGCGGCGAGATGATGCTAATGCTAACCGGTTAGCGCAGCTTCTTAGCATTAAACTGTATTTTCTTCTGTCCCGGTGAGGTTGACGTGTTGTATTGGGGCCCTCGTTAAAACAGCATATCAAACATAACATGATTAATAAAATGTTGCGAGCCCCAGTTTTATTTTTAATAAACTGAAGTGTCTCTAGTCTATCAGCTATGGCTTTGCTGTACGTTGTAGAGGAACTCATGTAGCATGAACTCATGCTATGGATTTGTATGGCTAATCAGTTTTACCTCAGATAGACAGAAATATTATAATTCTGATCATTTATCAGTACTGATACATGTGAGACTTTATCAGAGGCGTGAGCATTAAAGCAGATGCCTTTGTGTCAAAGTAACTGAGAATAAAACAGAAAAACATGAAGGAGATTTCCCTGGCCTGGATTTTTATAGCAGATAACCTTTAAAATGTTCTGCAATATTACATAATTATAAAAAAAATATTTCTCTCTTCAGTATTGAACATCAGAAATTAGGCTTTCTGGTACGAGGTGGGTAATAAGCAAATGAATAATGCCGAAAACAGAGATTTGAGATGGGAAGCTGTTCTTGAAGTACAGAGAGAGATTTTTATCGTGGTGGAAGCCAAACGGCAAAGGTCAGAGGGAATTAATGACGACATTTATCAAATTTGAAGCGTAGTTTAGTTTAATACTCAATTCCGATTTTTTTGATCAAATCCGATTTTTTTTAGTCTGGTTGTTCACACTACAAATAAAATGTGACAGAAAACGTGCTCTAGTGTGAACCCTCAAGCGGCCCGCATGCGCAAAAGAAGACGTCACACACAACACGCTCTGTTTAGACCCAGACCAAACAGTATTGTTTGACTGATGGCCCTAAATATAAAGACTTGTTTCGGACTTTATGTTTCCTAATTTTGCTTGAAATTATAAAGTTATTTTGTTATTTACATATGGCCTAATAATTATCCCTATTGCTGTTTTAGAGAGGAGCGGTGCTTCAAAGGATAGTTGCAGATTTCTGTCAGAATCTGCAGATTATACAGTACAAATAAAACAACGTTTCTCCAATGTTGCCTTCCCAACAGTTTCACTAACATCTACACTAGATGGTCAGGAAGTGTTCGGGCGCTTCTCCGGCGCCGATAATTGGCGTCTGTCTTGTGTCAGTGACGTAAAAGACAGATGTAATGTGACACGACCATTCAAGCAGCAGTCACTTTCTAAAACATCAGATATGTATCGGATTCAGTACCACATACGAAAGTGACCTAGGTCGGATTTGAAAATATCAGATTTGTGCTGTTCAAACTATTATACCATGATCAGATATGGGTCCCATAGGGTCAAAAAGTCGGATTTGATGCGCTTTCGCCTGCAGTGTGAACGTAGCCTTTGGTGGGGGTTTTTTTGTTTTGTTTTGTTTTTTTTAAACCAGTGCTGATAAGGCAGGAAAAGTAGGTATGGAGATGTATATGAGCTGCTCTAAACACGTGTAACATATATTCACATAGGCCGTATATAAATATAAATATAAATGTCTCTTCTGAATTTTAAAGCAAAGCAGGCCAAGAAAATATGAGCGATTTTTTTTTTTTTTTTTTTTTTTTTTTTTTTTTTTAAAAACAACAACCCAAAAGCCCTCAAGCA